CATTTTGGAATGCAAAATGGCACCCTGTGTCGTGTGTGCGCAGCGGCGGCAGGACCAGCCATGGGCTGGTTACAAGGCCTCGACGGGCCGGGTTCAGCCCGCAGGCCATAGTTTGCCGACCGCTGCACTACATTGTGCTTGCATAATATAAAGAAAGAGCAAAAACAGGCTTACTGCTGATCAGTAAGAAAACAAAAATAATGACCATGGAGGCTGTACCTAAATTCACACAAGAGGATGAGGAAATTGAAATAGTTAAAGATTTTCCATACTTTGGATCAATCATTGATCAAAACAAAGACTTCAGTCAAGAAATCAGAAGAAGACTAGAAATGAGAAGAGCAACTATGGACGTTATCACACGGGAGTCGCGGGGAGAAAGTGGAAATAAACCGGACGAGCGGAAGACTTTAATTTACGGGATTTGTCCTGTTCCGCCTCGTCTGATAACTAAATTCGAATTTAAAAGGAGGTTAATTCGAACAAAAACCTGATCTTTTCATTTCCTCAAAAATCCCGAAATCGCATTAGGGAGTGATTGGAATGTTAATTGGAATATTATTGGCTGTTCAGTCAACTAGCAACTGGTTGAATGGGTCTACTGAAGTTGAGAGTAAACAACAGGTATTTTCTATGATGGCACTAAAGTTTTAGAATACCCCTTCTGAGCATCCGCAATAGGTCCCTCTCCTCCTGTATTCTTGTCTTTCTTGTTTTAATTGCAAATGATTCACTACTGACCACTGATGCTTTCCATGTCAGTGGTGTAGTGAATTCATCCATCTCCAGCGCTAGGTCAGCAGCCTTTAAATTTCAGACAAAAACTCAGAGTAGGTTACTGACACTGGAACCACCACCAGTCACTAAGACTTTCAAAATTACCCTTTTAGTAATATTAGGTTGCTTTATAATTGGAATGTGTTAAAAGCCTAAATACCCTAAAGACACCAGATTCCATCTGATCTTGGAAATTAAGCAGGGTCAGCCCTACTTAGTACTTGGATGGGAGATCACCAAAGAACACCAGGTGCTGCAGGCTAGATTTCAGGGGAAGGAACTGGGAACACTGCCTCTGAGTATTCCTTGCCTAAGAAAACCCTATGCAATTCATGGGGTCATTTTAAGTCAACAAATGACTTGAAGGCACACACGCACACAATGTAGTCAAAAACTCAGAAGAAGGCAAGGAAGGACAGCTATGAAAGAATTAGACAACACCCTGATGTGTAAAGCTATGTCATTACATACCAAAGTCAGATTCATCCAGGCCATAATATTTCTAATTTCTATATATGGATGTAAAAGCTGGACAGTAAAGAAAACTGATAGGGAGAAAAACAATTCATTTGAAATGTGGTGCTGGAGAAGAGTTCTATGGATACCATGGACAAACAAATGAGTCCTAGAGCAAATCATAGAATCATAGAATAATTGAGTTGGAAAAGACCACAAGGGCCATCCAGTCCAACCCCCTGCCATGCAGGAATTCCCAATTAAAGCACCCCTCACAGATGGCCCTCCAGCCTCTGCTATCAAGCCTGAACTATCCCTAGAAGCCAAGATGCCTCAACTTTGTTGTCGTACTTTGGCCATATCATGAGAAGACAAGACTACCTAGTAAAGACAAGAATGCTTGGGAAGGTAGAAGGCAGCAGAAAAAGAGAAAGACCACATTCCAGATGGATAGTCAAACAAGGAAGCCACAGCCTGACTTGGAGGTCTCTCATTCATCGGGTCACCATAGGCGGAAGTCGATTTGACAGTGGTTAACAACAAATAGCCACAAAAGTATTTGTGGTGGTGGTTATTGAATACAACCGACTATTCTGGCATCCCTTTGAGATACTGTGCTGGCAATAGCATTCCTGTTTGGCAAAAAGCTTACCTTGGGAAACTTGCTCTCCTCATCAATGAGAGAGATGATGTTCATAGGCTTGATGGCGATCATGTCCAGTGCATCCTGGTTATCTGTGAACTCAATGTGCTGCCAGTTGATGTTCTCCAGGTTGTATTCCTCTTGTTCCAGCTTGAAGACGTGGCGGACAAAGAACTGCTGGAGGTTCTCGTTTGCAAAGTTAATGCAGAGCTGTTCAAAACTGAAGGAGGAGAAAAAGGGACAAATTTTCTTTCTGCCTTCCCCCTTTTTATTTTACGACATGCAAATGCATTCACACCAATGAGAAAATGTATTGATACCAACAAATAAGAAAGAGTGTAGACCAGAAAGAATTTGATATCATCAACCAAAATGACTTTGAAGTATTAGTATTTTAATTGGGGTGACTGGAAAGGCTTTAATAATGAACATTATTCCACATGGAATAATGAATTCCATGTGGATAGTTTAATTCCATTTTAATGTTCACTTTTGTATGCTTTTAGCTGTATTGTTCTTTTTTAAAATTGTGCCCACCTTGAGTCCAATTTTGGGAGAAAGATGGGATAATGATGATGATGATGATGATGATGATTGTATTTATTTATATCCCGCCCTTCTCCCTAGACTGGGGCTCAGGGTGGCTTACAACATTAAAATACAATACAATTGAAAATATACAAAAATAATAC